GCTGACCACGCCAGTGAAACAGAAATAACTTCACCTTTCCCTGAAATCACAGGGAAGGGTAAATTGCCTCGGTGGGTGAAGCGAGGAAGGGCTGAAATCCTCGTCCCAGCCCTGCATTCTCCACGCTAGAGGGAATCAGTGCTCCACGTTTCTCCCTCCAGCCCCTGAGAGCTCCGAGCTGGCCCAAAATTGCCTCCCTCCCCTCCCCTCAGCTGTGCCTGCAGAGGAATTCACAAGGAATACCCTGTGGAGGCTGCAGGACCCAGACAAGCCTCCAGCCTGTCCCCACCATGGGACCACTTGGAGAGAGGAGCAGGAACCAGCCCTTGTAACCCCAGGACCTGCTGGTCTTTTAGTCACCAGAGCTCAGCTCAAAGATCCCACACTTGCTTGGGATGAGTCAAACCTGTCTCCCTGTGGAGAGGCTGAAAACATGGAATGTTTGAGATGCAGGATCACGTTGGCTGAGTGTCAAAAATTCCTGGTCATGCAGAGGGCAGGATGTTCTCCCCCAATCCGTGGGTCTGCAAGAGGTAGAGGTTTGAGACTTACCCATTCTTAAGAACCCAAACTGGATGGGACAAACCCACAGACAGTATCATGCACAGAGAAACTTCTAGGCCTAGGATGCTTTTAAAAAAAAATCAGTTTATTTTACCTTACAAACGATAAATAATTTGTTTAAAAAAAAAAAATCATTTCAAGTGTGTTTTACTTCATGTTCCAATATTAAAATACCTTTCCCTTCTCCCCCCCTTTAAGTGATCGATACAAAAATAATTGTGACCAAATTCTTTTTTTTTTTGTCAAAAATTCCTGTATTTTAGGCAAAAAGGCACGTTGTGAAGGCTTTTCACCAGGAGGCACAGGGGGGTCCCAAAGACCCCAAGAGCTTCTTTCCCCTCCCTCCTTGTTCTAACTTGAGGCAGCACTGCTACAGTGCTTTTTGTCTGATCCCTCCAGGTACATACCGGGGCCAAGGTCAGCTTCAGTGTCATCCCTCTTTAACATGTGGGGGGAAATCAAGGCACAGCAAAGCAGTACAATTATTTAAGAGCTTCTTGTGAATAGCTGGCAGAGTAGGACATAAAAACTGGACGCAGATGTAGAATGTTGTCTCCTTCAGAACCCACCTGGGAACATCCTCTCCCCTTGCAACCACAGTGTTAGGATGGTAGTCACAGGTCTCTGGATGCTTCTTGCTTAGTGGAGGAGTCACAGGGCCAGCACAGAAATTTGGGCCTTCACTAGTCTAAACAGGGATTAATTTGAGCCCTAATTATCAGCCCTTGCTGGGGTGTATCCCCCCCAATAAATCTCTGGCCACAGGAGGGACAGAACAGCCAGCAGGGCACTAGAGAAAGCTACAGGCAGGCTCTTGCTTTGGGTGGGCTTCGTACCTTCCTTGCTCAGGGGATGTGGTCCCAAAAATCAGCTGTCTTCCCGCTGGGCAACGCTGCTGTGTCACCAGGAGGTGGGGAAGTCAGCGAAGGGGGTTCTTCAGTGGCAGAGACGTTTGACAACCCAGCTCAGCAAGAGCATTTCCCTCCCTGCCCTGACCGCACAGCTCGAGGCTGGTGACTGCTCAGAGCTGCCCCTTTCGCTCCAGAGCAGGGCAACAGTGCCTCACCCCCCAAAAACCCGCCTCCCCCGCTTCCAGGGAGCTGGATTTGTGGCAGCTGGCAGGAGAGCATCACACAGGGTGAGCTGAGCCTGCCTGTCACGGGATGAGGGGAGGGAGGCGCAGGAGGCCGGAAGGAAAGGCGCGCAGAGCTCTCCCGTGGCACGAGGCACCACCGTGAACAGCACTCCTTCCTCGGAGCAGCCACCTCCAGGAGCCCTTGGCATCGCGAAGAGCGGCAGGAGACGAGCTGCCCCTCGGAAAAGCCTCGGGAAAGCTAAGTCTCCTCGTCCCAGAGGCAGAGCTGCTTCTGCGGCACGTAGTAGTCGAAGGTGTAGCCCTTCTGGCAGCTGCGGATGCCGCACTTGTAGGAGGAGACCTTGCCCCCGGCGTCCCGGCTCTTGCAGTACTTGAGCATGCAGGGGTACCACTCGATGCTCAGCGAGTAGCTGCAGATGCAGGGCTTCCAGCGGTCGGGGCACAGCCGGCAGCGCTGCAGCTCCGGCAGGTCCGAGCCCTGCGGCAGCACCTCGAACATGGAGCCGTCCACCCCTGCGGGACAGAGCAGGGACACCGCTCAGGGAAGGGACAGCCACCGAGCACTGCTCCCTGCGCAGTCCCCAGGGCGAGGAGGAGGGGGTTGGATGGTGTTTTCTGGGGGCTGTTTGGGTGTGAGTTGGAATGGGAAGCGTGGGGAGAACAAAGTGCCTCGGGGAAAGTAAAGTCACAGATACGCAGATGGAGATGGTGAAGGGCCTGGAGGGGAAGACTGAGAGGAGACCTCACTGCAGTTATAACTTCCTCAGGAGGGGCAGGACCTGAGCTCTGCTCTGTGGGGACCAGGGACAGGACCCAGGGAATGGCCTGGAGCTGTGTCAGGGCAGGGTCAGTTTGGATCTCAGGAAAAGGCTCTTCCCCCAGAGGGTGGCTGGGTGCTGAACAGGCTCTTGGTGTCACAGCACTAAGGCTGGCAGAGCTCAAGGAGAGTATGGATGGTACTCCCTGGCACAGGGTGTGACTCTTGGGATGGGCCTGTGCAGGGATAAGTGTTGGATTCAGTGATCCTTTTGGGGTCCTTTCCAACTCAGCATATCCTGTGATTCTGTGATATTTCTTCCGGGTGATGGACCAGGTGAAAGGTTACTTTGAAAACACCTAACCAGGCTCAGCAGGAGAGCACCAGCACAAGAAGTTCAGATCTGCTGAAGAACAGGCCAGTACAACGCAACACATGTGCCTTAAAGACAGCAGAGAGGAAGCCAAAACAATCTGTGCTGATCCCCAGGAAAGCTGGCAGGAGAGATGCCAGCCCCGTGCCAGCGCGCTGACAGCAGTGGTTCCAACGAAACCGAGGGGAGCTTACCTTTCTCCAGCCAAAACTTGACATCTTCTTCGCGGGTGTAAATGGCTTCTTTGGCCTCGGCACAGACGTTGTGGATGTGGGGGCTCAGCTGGGCCCCCTTGCTGAAGTTCACAGCCACGTCCATGCTCAGGTGCTCCAGCCCCCGAACCTCCTCGGCCTGACGCACCGTCCGGGGGTTTTTCTGCACGGGATGAAAGAATCAGAGCTTCAGTCCAGGGGGTAACGTGTTATTCCTCATAGCATGTTGGGATTTCACGCCAGCACACGATCCGTCTGCTTAAGAATCGGTCTTCAGACAGCCAGCTCCTTCCTCCTCGTGGCTGAGACCTGTGAGAGATTCACAGCTCCCCCCTGACTCAACTCCAGGTGTCAGGGATTTCCAGCACAACATTTGCTGACACTGAGGGAGATGCACTGGGAAAAGGCAGGAACGGGCCGTGCTGCCAGCACTGAAACAGCCAGTGAGCCAAGAACAGCTTTAATAAAGCTGTGTTGTTCAAGGACCTGGCTCCTGTGGCACGAGTCCTTCTGAGGAGACAAATCCCACCTTTCCCCGGCTCCAAGCAAACCCAAAGTGATCCTTGCTGGGGA